AGCTAGAATACGCTGTGCAAGGCTGGCGCTCACAATATATTGTATTTATGGTCCTATACGGACATAGTTGGTCCAGGATGGGAGTAGGGATAAACTAATGCCAATTCATTATGCCTTGAATAATTGCAGTTGACCTCGCTCAATATATCAGGACTGTCCAAGCCTCAGGAACATTTTACGGAAGCTTTCCCCTCATTTCCAGCCCCTCGACTACCTACTGTGTATCCAAACAACCCTGTCACCGGCTCAGTTCACCAGTAAGTCATCGTAAGGCTGTAGTAAATCGACTGCCGATGCGTTCCGTTGCGTCACCTAACCGTTCTCATCTCTCCGCCGAACTGGGCTATAAACGCACGGCTCTAGAATACCCTTGAGCTCCCCGTCCCATCAGCAATTTTATCACTATCGAAACACCCACACTCCAGTGACTCATGGCACATCGCCACACAAACACAAAACTCACTGCTTGAACACCTGATAACAACAAAAAACGCGAAAGTACAAACAAAGTTTTCAATAAGTGCACTTAAAAAATCACTGATAAGAAATGACACATGCACTTTACTGAGCTGTTTGAATATCGTGGAGCGTAACTCTGTCAGCTCTGGAAAATTTTCTGAGGGTATAAGGGAATTTGTGACAGTTAGCGCTCTCAAATGAGCTCCAAACTCCTGTGCTCATAAAAAAATCAACTCTACAATATCTTTTTGAAGGGGCAATTATCTTTCTGATCAACACATCATATATTGCTGGAAGGTCCCTTGTTTTCAATAGTTCGTATTAAATTTGAGGAGTAGATGGTACATTGGCCAGATGCGCTGCTTGCTACGGCACTTTCGAGGGTCAAATCTTGAAAAGAACCCCGCGTAACCAATTCAAGCCTTTCCCATCTTTGCGCCAGTTTGCTGTCACCAGAAACTCCCGTGAGTCATTGCATAGAACTAGCTACACCAAAACGGCGCCACCTCCCTGAATGGGGGCACAGCGCGAGGCACATCCCAAAAGACTACCGCGCTACATCTACGCGCTACATCTTTTGTATTTTGCTGAGTGCTAAATAAAAGTGATGGGCGACGGGACACATAGAATGGTTCGGCATTTGGGTTAAATTGCGTTTGCAAGCCCCGGGAGTAAATCAGACTCGAAGGTGTGAGGGGCAGGACCATTCAAGATCTTCCGGTATGAGAGTGCCGTTAGTCGCACCGCGTTAGCCTCAAGGTGTCCTTAAAGCGTCCTGTTCTTCGGACCTTTCTATCTTACTGCCGTTTCCTTGTTCGTTCTTCCCTTTTTTCTTTCTTTTTCATATTTCTTTATCGTGGACTATTTTACAAAATCGGTACTCCATTGTATGCGCATCGTTTCAGAGTACTAATTAAATAAATAGTGAATAATAAACAAATTGATTCTTTGATTAAGTTCCAAATGCTCTTCCCAATTTTTGCAGTAACGACTTAACACCCAAAGTGGCAATTTTCGATATCGTGTTTTCTTGGCGATTTTTAGAGATATCTAGGGTGTACCTTGAAGTAATAAGGAACTATACCTGTTGGTCGGAGACGGTGTCGAGGCACTCGCGCCCGTACTGGTGCCACTCAAATTCAATGACGTCAACTCTGATTGGGGTGCATAGCTGGTCAGAATAGGCATTGATGACGTATCTGAAAAAAGCTATTTACCTCTAGGCAAAGTCAACTCTCGAACTCTAGCAGGTCGAAATGGAGAGCAGCCTGAAGACGGTTCAGGTTTTTGAATGAAAAAATAATACCAGAAATATCGGATGGAAAGAAGTAGGGAAGAGTAAAGTCTTCGTGCCTTTGGCATTTTGCCCGCATATTCTCAGGGTTACGCGCAGGTATGATAGAACTGAAGCGCTATTGAAATGGTGCGATCTAAACGTTCCATATTATCGGCGGGGAATTTCAATAGGCCTTATTAGAACTGCTGACCAAAAAGTTCGCAGAAAGTTTTGAAATGCTGGCTTTTTTGAATTTTTCGTTTATTCCCTTTGGTCCCTATAACTTGCTGTCGATCCACCAGGTTCATGTTAATAAGAGCATAGGTCGATTTCCATTTTATATCGCAGTTTTTCAAAGGAAGCCTCGACAATCTGAGATGCCGACGGAAAAAAATTTTCGCAATGACACTGTGTGCAGAGAGGAACACCGCTGACAGAAAATTGTTGAAACTAGACTATTCATATTGAAAAGTAATCATTGTGATCTTTCACGTGAAGGTGCGCAGCACTTAAAAATTTGCCATTTTAGGGTCTTTTTTGCCATTTTAATTTTATCGATTTTCGTTCGTGATATATGGAGCCGTAAAGGAAATGAGATGTTTCTTGACGGTCAACATATGGCCACATTGAGACTCCAGTAAACTCAATTTGTCCCACATTTACATTATAGGTTTACGGTATAAAAAATAGCCTAATGGCTTCATGGAATCTAATGGATTGTTTCATGAGTGACTGGGTTTCAGTCCGCTGACTTCACATCAAAAACCACTGCGTCTCTCTCTCCCGTTACCATCGATAAATCACTGTCGCCATCAAGAGAACGTGTTCTGTACCGCAACGATTCATCGAGATGCTTCCGTTTGTTTTTTCATATGATGACGTCATTAGATGAAAAAGAAAACGACGCACCATGATCCGGCCTACATTGGCTCTTCCTAACAATGCTTGTTGGTCGCGTTGTCGTTGTCGCCGTCGAGAGAGGCGCGCCGGCGGCGGCGGAGGAGGAGCAGGAACTGGAGCAGGATGAGAGCGTCGGGGTTTGGCCGTCACGCTCGTATTGCTCATCGCTCGACATAAACTCATGTTATACGCGACTGGTTCGGTGATATTCGCTTCGACGAAACGGTACACAAATTTTTGACCGATCACCTGCAACAAAATTGATAGTGCACTAAAAAACATAAATTGCTTACTTACTTAACCCTTGATTTTTTGCAAAATCATAAATGCAGCATTGCAATATCTGCAGAGTCGCCAGTTAGAGGGTAGAGGTGGGGGGGGGATTTGATCACACCGAGAAAAATGATGTATACAATGTATGTTGCATGACCTATTAAATTCATTGATGTACGAGGTAAGGAGAACCGCGAAAAAAAATGATGACCCCTATGTGCTGGATTTTTCGAATAATGCGCTGTAAGACCCGACCCGTACAGTGCTCCAAGAGTACTTACTGGTCGCCGAACCATCGAACCTTACCCCAGGGCAGTGCAACCGGGGCGGATACGGCCGATCCAATGATGCATTCAGTGAGATAGGCGTTTGGTTCAATTTGTCGGTGCAATAAAAACAACCGGTAGATCACAGATGACATTTTTAGGTAGATTTTTTATTGGTAGGTTCGCGAAATCTGAATGCGTTCGAATATCGGTTAAAAACTACCAACCTTTTTGATGATATTTTTGTCGTAGTAGTATCGAAGTGCCCTAGACAACTTGTCGTAATTCATATGTGGCTTCGCCTTTCGTTGTCCCCACAATCGGGCGACGGCTTCGGCATCCAAAAGCTGAAAGGCACAACTGACATTGAGAACTCGTGTGTAAGCCCACATAACCAAAATTTCTTGTTAGAGCCAATTGTTACGGCTACGGCTGGTTGGAAATTTCAAACCAACCCCACTGTAAATTATCAGAACCTCCTAATGGAACTTTGGACCGATCGCACGTCACACCGTATCAGTGCGACTCTTCCGTCTCTTGTCGGCATAGCGCTACCTTAATTGTTATCCGCACGCAAACTGTTCTTGGAGGAGTCAATGGTGGTCCGGTTGTCATTTTTTTTAGTTTCCCACACAAAAATAAATCGCTGTTCGCCTTCAGGCTGTAGCGCTGCAACTCTGTTGATAAAATCTAACCCTGGCCGGCTACACCCCTCATTTCTTCAGGACGATCACTTAATTGCCGCAGTATATTGAGAAGCTCGATGAAACAAATTAAGCAAGACCTAACCCAAAAAAACCATTTGATAGATGAAATTTGCATACAAATGCCCGTTGGGCAATTCTAGGTGTGAGTAAGATGCATGGCGTATATGAAGGGTAGTGTTTCTGCTGATGACTTCACACAAATGCCTAAAGCGATTAAATCTGGACATTAGCTCCCAGGATAATGGATTTCCCCAAGCTTAGAAGGCTACCAACTGTTTTGCAGAAGCACTGTTTCGAGTATGGGTCATCCCACCCCTGTTGTTGTGTAACGAATAATAATTTCTGGACGAATGGAAAGAAATCGTCACCTAAAACCAGAAGGAAGGGAGAACTAAAATGATGAATGAACGCCGAATAGTGATTTATCGATGCCAAACACTCTAACGCCCATCTCCCTTCTTTGAAAAACATTGAGCAAATGTCTCTAATTCCAAACATTCTCGAATTCAGCACTACTTAAGCGATGCCTCGGTGCTCACGTCGTTAGGGAGACATTCGAAGTGAGTGAGCCTCTTACAGAAATTGCG